GCAGGGGGCGTCGGGTGTTCTGTGGGACCCCTGACAGGCTCGTGGTCATCTCACACACCCTCCCTTCTGCTTGCTTGTGGACACTCCAGCGGGTCACGGCCGTGGGATGCTGTGCGCGGAGCCCCGCAACCCGCTGGGGCGGTGGGGGGTCCTGAGGGACCCCGACACGGTTAAGCCCCACGTCCGAGCCGGACCCACCAGGCCTCGATGCTGAGACACTCGCTTCCCTTCTCCCCTGCGCCTCACACACGCAGAAGCAGAGACTCCGCCCAGCACGAGAGCAGACTTACGCCCGGGCCCTCGGCTGGCCTCTCGCAGGGCGGGCAGGGAGGCCCATTTCTGGATGGGCCAGGGCCAGCAGCGGGCCTGACCCGGAGGCAGAAGCCAGCCAGTCCCTCTGGATGGAGGGGGAGGGGGAGGGGCGGGGGGAGGCCGGGGCCTCAGCTGTGAGGGCTGCGTCTGGCCACCGGGTAAGGCCTGGCGGCGGGCAGGAGGCGCGTCTGTGGTCACCCGGGGACACGGGGTGCCCTCGCCCCAAGGTCAGGTCCAGAAGAGGGGTTTCCTGTGACCAAACGCAGAAGCCAAACGTGGACATTAAATCGTTGGACATAAATCACAAACGCAGTCAGTGGAGAGAGCCGGCAGTGTCATGGCGAGCGGCCAGAAGACAGCCGCCAGCGCGGCCGGATCTCACCGCCGGAGTATTTGGCCACTTAAGCCCAGCTTGTGGGCATGGGGCGCCCGCCCGGGGGCCCCCTCTCCTCTGGAGGCAGCCAGGATGCTCTGTGGAGCCGTGTCCTCCCGGGCGCCTTTCTGTGCCCACCGAGTCAACGCGGAGAGGTGCCCCAGCGCCTGAGAGCGTGCGCGTGGCCACCCCAGAAGCGCCCCGCCCGTCGCCCCGCCCTCGGGATGCCCGGGTCGGGGTTCGCAGGTGCAGGGAGAGCCGGGAGGTCCTCCCCGGACCCGTGCTGGGTCGCTGCCGCCCGCGGTGGCCACGTGTGAGGACGCAGGTCCAGCGTGGTGCATCTGGCAGCGAGTGCCTGCAGGCCACGGCCACGGGCGTGGTGGGGCAGCCCCGAGTGCCTGCAGGCCACGGCCACGGGCGTGGTGCGGCAGCCCCATCCCACGCCGGGCTGACCCGCAGGGGACTCTGGCCATGGACACGTCCAGGGCTGTCTTCCTCCAGTGGCCAACCACGGCGAGCCCAGGGACTCACCCTCCTGAGAGGCGCCGCCGGGAGCCTGGGGGGCGGCGGCGGGGCAGCCTGAGGGCCCAGCTCTCAGCTCCGGGGCTCCCCGAAGGGGCGACTTGCAGGAGCAGAAGGAGCTTTAAGCCCCCGAGAGTACGGACCAGCTCTTCTTAAAGAGCCGAGGGCGGGTCACCAAGAGTCCCCACAGCCGTCCTGTGGAGTCTGTTCCCGCCCCGCCCTGCCCCTCCTGCTCCAACCTGGGGTCAGTCTGGGGGGCGGGGGGCTGCGTGCTCCCTCTGCAGCTCCTCAAGCTTGAATGCCATCTCTGAGGCGCCTGAGGACGACGTGACTTCTGGATTTTTTATGTAGTTTATATATACGTCTTTCTTACTCCAGTTTATTGAGAATTAATTTTGAAGCATACCGTAGAGCAATAGTCTCCACACTCCGACTTCCAACACCTGGTCAGCTCTGCCACTGTTCGGGGGTAAAACTACTCCCTTTCTTGGGTCACCGAGACTCCCCCTGCAGCCCTCAGGGCTTGCGGCCGCACAAAGCTCAGACGCCACACCCTGGTGAGACTTGCCCACGGCTGCCCCCACGTACTCTCCCGCGAGCCGCAGGTGTCTCCGGGGAGCCCTAGGACGCCTGCGGTCAGTCACTCAGTAAGCCAGGCCTGGGCAGAGTTTCGAGCTTACCTGAAGTTCTGTGCGGCATCGAGGTGTGAAATCACCGTGGAACTGAAATTAAAGTGCAGGGAGAGGGCTGAGACGCGACAGGCAGCGGCGTGACAGGCTCCAGAAGCCCGGGGCGTGCAGACCGCCCTCCCTTGCTCAGCGTGGTGGTCGCCCCGCTGGGACTCAGTGTGAGCCGTGACTCGGAGCTGCGCGCTAACAGCAAAGTGCCCGGACGAGAAGGCCGACGCCTCCTCGCGCAGTGGGGAGCAGCCGTCGCCAGGGCAAGCCCAGGCAGGGCGTCTGGCCTCTGCCCCTGTCGGGCTCCCCCTGCCCAGGGCCAGCGGCCCGACCTGCCCGCCCAGTGCTGTCCACCACGAGGCTCAGAGGAGATGGGGTCAATCCCAACCTCAGGATGGGGGTCGTGCGGCACCCCCCACGTGTGGCCAGTGCACCCCAGAGCCCGCGGGCACTTCCAGCAACAGAAACACCTTTCTCAGGGGTGTTCTAGAAATGTCAGGGGTGCTGCTGGCTGACGTAAAAACTTGGGGGATGCCTGGTGTCCTGCAAAGCACAATAGAGACGTGTCCCACGTCACTGGCCGGTCCCGCCAGCTGAACCCGCTGACTATGAGGGCCTCAGTGTGCTCGGAGGGGATGGCCTTTATCAGCAGTCACCCCAAAAGAACAGCACTTAGAGAAGGCTGCTAGTCACCCCAAAAGACAGCACTAAGAGAAGGCTGCTACAGAAAGGCCCCTGCGGCATCGCCCCGAGACTGGTGGCGTCTGCCCACGAGCCCTTGGCTTCCTGGGCACGCCAGCCCCACACTGGGCCTAGGGCTGGTGACAGGCGTGCAAAGGGCAGCGAGGGCCACGCCGGGAGGCCCACCCCGCGCTTCTCGCCTGCCGCCCGCCTGAGCTCTGAGCACCGAGCGCGGGAAGAGCCGGCCTGGACCAGCTGGCCACCGCGGCCCCTGCGCTGGGCACAGGCTGGCGCTAGCATTGGCACGCGTGGCTCTGTGGCGTGTGGAGGGCTCCTAGGATGAGGGGCTTAGAGCCGTGGCAGCGTGGCGAGCTGGGCGTGACCCACAGCGCCCGTCCGTGTCCGGGCAAAGTGGCCACAGGGCCCACTCCCTGACCTTGCTGGGCCCCGGCCCTCCCTCACCGGCAGCGTGACCGCTCTGGCCTGCTCCCTGCTCCCCCCCGGCCGGTGGGGTGTGGAGGCCCCACTCTGGCTCCGGGCTGCGCACCGAGGGTGCCCCTGGGACACGCACCGCCTTCACCCGGGCGCGTGGCCGAGCCGTGGGGGGCGGCGTGAGGCTGCCTCCCGTGGGGTGCTGTGCCCTGAGCGCGAGCCCAGCGGGGTGCCCGGCGGGGGCCGTACCTGTCGGGGCACAGGGAGACGTGGAGCAGGAGCAGGGGCCCGGCGCCCACGACGGTGGCCAGGGCGGAGCGCATCCAGGAGCTGAGCTGGCAGAAGTTGCAGTAGTGCACGGTGGCGGTCAGGACGGCCGAGCCCGCGAAGACGGCGAACTGCGG